TGATTGGCCCATTTTAACCAAGGACATACAACATCAACCTGTCAAACAGACAAGAACATTTTTGCTTCTTACAGTACAAACAGTTGCCACCGACATGGCATTTTTTATTTATTCAAAAATATTCACAAGATGCATGTGATATGAATGTACGTATATTCATATGTATGAATATGATCATTTGAATGTACCTCTTCTATGAAGAATTTGTTTTTGATTTCTGAATTTAAATTGTAATAAAGTCACAATACCACAAGAAAATACATCAAATTTGGCTGAGGCCATGTAAAAATAGCAGTAATATCCATGCTCTAGTGCTAGAAGCTATTTGAACTTACTGCTAATAGTGGAAGATAACAACATATTATTTAGTATATACTTAACAACACATCCAATGTTAATGCCTATTAAGGCATGTTAGGCATGCTATTTCCACTTTTCTAATATTTTCTATATATGATAGAAAAAGAGAGAAGAATGGGATTGGAATTTTAAACTCGTCAAAAAGCCAAATCAATTATCCACAGCACTGTTTCTGTTGCCATATTGTAATTTTGTCTGGGTCAACCAGACAATGGTGAGCGATGGAGTTAGTCTTAATAGCCTTTTCCTTATACCCATTTTTTAAGCAACCTGTGTGAAGGTGATGTTTAGTCAATATATGAATAGTATGTTTTTTGTACCATTATATTTTATGTCATTATGTATTGGTACATATATGCCAGCTGTTATTCATTTCAGTGGTTCACATTTCATTGCACATGTTCAATTATAAATGTACGCCAGAGATCTCATTCTCAGCATGGAAGCTGAATTATGTCTTCTTTTCTTTTTGTATGCTCAGTTGGAGTAGAAGTGAGCGATGCATGCTCTGAATGAGACATGCACACCTGATGAAATATGTAGCATACGCATCTACTGAAGAAGGTAAATCATAATATATCATTACAGCACTGCAAGGCATTTAACTGAGAGTTATATAACTTAGATTTAGAGTTAGAGTTAGATTAGGCTGAAAAAATACACAGCCATCTTTGTGATTTTTTCTTTTCATCATGTTCAATTAAAGCTATTATTGAAAAACGACTAATATAATATCCATTTAATGCTTGGCTATCCTCATGATTTTGCTACCAGAATACTGAACCATATTTAATTACAAAAAGGTTAACAAGGCCCTCTCCTGCTCATAAGAGATGGATAGAGCTTCATTAAAATCCAATTTACAGGCTGCTCAAAGCAAGACAACGCAGAGCTTTATTTCTAAGAACGATTTGAGCTCATGAGCACATTTAGAAGTGCCTATATTGTCATTTAAGCTGATTATATGACACAAACTGTATGGACAGCTTTTTGCTCAAGGGAAAAGGAAAATTGCCAATAAAGTCTTTGACATCTTAGGTCATTTAGAAATTGAAAACAAAACCACTGCTCTAATGCGGTCTTCCCTCCACCAAAGATGACACTGTTTTTGAAAGAAACTCAATCTTTCAGGGTGCATTGAATTAAAAAAAGCAAACTAGGTTGTAACATTGTTTTTAGCTGATGGGTATATTTCTAATGTTCCTTACAAAAAGTATTGCCTCCATTTTTTACTGAGCTATCTACAAACAGCTAAAGAGCTTTGAAGGTGTGTACAAAAGGGTTTTGGCCATAAAAATAAATGTATTTTTCTGCTTGGCTTTATAATATAACCAATTTGGTACCAGGCTTTAACACTTTAAAGTCAACTTAAAAAAGGCAAAACAAAGGCTAAAATATAGCCTAAACAGTTGTGTGGCTATTGATTAATATTACAAAATGTGCGCTGTGAACATGTAATGAGAAAACAAGGTCAATCTTAATTTTGTGTTGACTTCAAGTGACAAAAGAGGACATTGTTAATTTACAGTAGGATGTTTTTTGCAGAGTTTGTCCCCCAGAGACACATGCAAGACGCTATTCATCAAAAGGTCATATCCCTTAAGACACATGGCCTTTCCTTTCAATGTTCATTCATTTGGACAAGTCATCGACTATGTGCAGAATATGAAAGTCCATTTACTTATTTCTAATAGATCAAGACTAGAAATAGGAATGTTGTTATCTCTCTGCATTTGTATCGACTCTTTCCAGAAGGCATTCTGTGTTTCATATTATACAAAGTGTTACGTTAATGAATATCAAGTTGGAAAACTGCATTTTGAGACCAACGGAAAAACACTTCAGTCCAGAATTGCCACTATTTTTTATTTTATTTTTTTGACTGCCTCTCTTGCTGCCTGTTTGTGTGTGTACGTGTAAAGAGGAATCAACACAAATAAAAGGCTACAGGGTCTGTTTATTGTCTCCCTCAAGCGTCCCCCATGATTCAGCTTTACTGTCATTATGATGTTCTGCTGGGGATGCTCTTCCTCCACATCAAGAGCTCTTGGAAGCCCCATTAATGACGTGCTAACTCATCATGAGGACTGCTCTTAGTGTACCAGATACTCGTCCAGCTGATGTAATCAAATGCTTTATGATTGTATCTCTGCAACTATAAAAACAGCATTGGCGGAACTGTATGTAATGTAAATAATAAAAATTACACATAACAGTACTGCGTAAGACTGTCCTAGGAATGATATCTCAACAATCAACTGCAAAACGGCTAACAAAGTTCCGAATTTAGGAACTGGCTCCGTTTCAGTTCATGAGTTGGAGTTTGAATTGAATTGGCCACATCCCACAGAATGTTGAATTGGAATGACAGGAAGAGAAATGTACTGAAATGCATTGCAAAGAAATTCACTTCATTCATTTTGAGTAATGATGCCAGAGTAATCTCTGCTATTTCAAAATAAATTAGACATGTATTTCCCTAAATGTCCAAAGTTAACACAGCCAAAATCAAAACAAATAATTATGCCATGCTGCATTGCAAAAATGTAATATATTTAATATAGGTAGGCCTACATTTGAGTTTTATTACAATTATATGAATATATTAAATATTACGTTAATATGCTATTGATATTTCATCAAGCATGTAACATTAAATATGTAAAAAAAAAAAAAAATGTTTCATTAAATATGTAAAATGTGTAACATTTAATAAATACACATGTGAATTTATTTACATATGCTGTATACTGATGGCTATATTTTGATCGCCTTGCGGTAAGTCTGGAAAATGAAAATGTTGCTTAAAAATGTAGATATGGTAATTTCTTACACAAAACATATAGAAACTAAGTATGTTGTAACCTATTTAGGTGGCATGTCATGCCTGGATATTAATATCATAATATTGCTTGCAATATCTCATATGTCGATGGTAACTCACACTGAAAATTGCATGTATTATTAAAAAATACACTTAAAGCTGTTATATGAATTTCTTCGAAATTCATTGCATCTTAATTCTTAAACGCAAATTCGAATTAATATTCGGACGTGCACAACCTTGATACAGACACCTGCCACGTGCCATATTTAATTGAAAACACACATTTCTCCATCCTATTGAATATTACAGAACACCTAAAAACAGCGAACAATCCACTCACCTTATATGTCAGATATCACTCCTATAATAACCGGGATGATAGCGCAGCACGCGCGGTAAAGTTCGCGCATCCCCACTGCACGCGACAGCTTCACGCTACTGTCCCCTTCAGGATCAGCTTCATCCTCGGAAACAACACAGAAGCATAGCGTACTAAATGCATATCCATGAGTGGGAAAAGAAACGCACTTTTCTTTTTTAAAGCAAACCACCAGCTGTAGGCAAGTGAACTTTAGGTGCGTGAATGCATGCAGGCTGTGGGAGGATCTGCTCTAGTGGAGGGATCTGTCTATGCAATGTGACGCTCTTCTATACACTGATCAAATCAAATGAGATATGATTGTGATGTGTGTGTCATGATATATGCATTAAGACCTGTGGTACACTGTTTGACAGTTGAATTGGGATGACATGCATAGCTCTATTTCAGTAATGAATGTCACCCAAAGAGCTTCTAATTATAACATCCTCCTGGCATTTTCAGGGGGACAAAGTGTTATATCATTCTGACTCGTGAATAACTGAAACTGTCAAACTGACAGCATACATTGCAGTAAGTGATGGCTGTGATTTCTAGAGTTTGGAGTATCACTAAAGCATACAGTTGTTGTTTCTGAGGGGGAAATCATGTGTAAATGAGTCAGGTGCTTGCTTCTGCAGGGGTTCTGACCTGCGTATGGAGATCTCAGTCACACCTGAGATACTGCTATAAAAAAAAAAACATGCACCCAGATGTGTTACAGCTGTTACAGTGATGTGCATTTACTGATGTGAAATGACATGGACAGCCCATAAGGTTTCAATAGCACAAGGAGAATGTTCATTTATCTCTGTTCAAACTCTGTGCCTAATCTTTTGCTAATTACATTGGCGCAGTATGAAATATGAAAGAAAGTCTAGCTGTCACACTTTTTACTTTAGTAAAGAAAAAAAAAAAAAAAAAGAGCAAAGAAAGAAAGAGAAATGGAACAACTAATGACAAAAATGTGACACCTTGCCCTTATGAAAACTACTCTCATGTCAATAATAATAACTTGAGTCAAAAGTCCAGTACACCAAAGCTTGTTTTTCCAGCAGTTGTTTTTGGTTTCAAATATCTATTTTTAAAACACTAAACTAGAATCATGTTTCTGAATTCTGTCCAACCAATGTAAAATGTCAATATTGCCATATTTTTATAGATGAAAAACACAATAGCACATGAATACGATTTTATTTGAAAAGTTGAACTTTGTTCTAAGGACTATCTTGTGATAAAAAACATCCATTTGGTCTCCTTCAGTCTATTCAATGGGAGTATTGTGAAAATAATGTAGCCTAGTATGTTAAGAAAAAAAAACTACATTTCATGTAAGGTACTAGCACCTGGGTATTATCTGTTCAATTCATTAGGGATATTATAATAAAATATTATTACTAAGGCTTATTAGTTGAATGCACAAAACATGCAACTTTTTCCAAACAGATGGATATACTTGTCAGTGTCTGTATTTGTTTATCATGCTTTCTGTTTATTTATTATTTATGTTCCATCATGTGTTTAAAAGGAACGCATTGTGCTGAATAAGAGTCATAATAAAAGTAAACCGAAAGCACTTTTCACACACTGAAGAACTCTTGAGTGCGAACTCTGAGTCTGGGACTTCACGGAAAACCAAACCAAAACAGAAAGGGTAGGTTATATTGTTTATTTATTAAATACCAGGACATGTGTTTAATCTATGCATCTTTATTTTCGGTGTTATTCGTGTTGTTGTGTTTAGCTGTGTAGCTATTCTAACTGGCAAGCTAATGTTTACGTTACACATATACACTGCTACTGCTTTCTGCTAGCGTAACTACACATTCTGACACTTTAAACGTATAAGATAGTGTTATGTTTGTGCATTTGCTTTAATAAAATAGATTTTGATATTATAAAATGAAAAAGTTTACGTTTAGTAGCTATTGTTAAAAGCGGCTAAAAATCTCGATGATCGTCTAATAAATGCATTGTTTTGTTTCGAAAGTAAATTAACTAGTACAGAATACAACAACAACAACAAGGAATCACAATAATAACTTTATATTTTCTTCCTAAATACGGCAGTTACTACAGTAAAACTGCTGACTGTCGTCAAACATTAACCATGGGTTATTGGACTTCGTGTGTGTCATTAATACGATGACTTACTTGCCTTGGTACGATGCTTTAGTGCTTCAGTACGGCATTGTACATGAATATGACAGAACCAGTGTGTATACATACATACATATATATATATACATATATATATATATATATATATATATATATATATCTATATATCAGAATTCACATGCTATTTGGGATCTGAACCCATCACTGTACCACGATGCAGATCCCATAAGCAAGAATAAGAAATGAACTATGGTATTTTGACAAATTATGGTTACCATTGTACATTACATAAACTGGTCTTACCTTTAGGGCATTTAAAGTTTTAAAGTACTAAGTAGTGAATATGAGAACAGGTGATCACTTTTCATTTTCACTATTACATGAACTGTGCCAGAAGCGGAAGTGAAACAAACCGTAAATCTGCTCCATATGGCGACCAACAAGAATAAGATGAGTCTCAGAGAAGATCTGACATGTGCCATCTGCTTTGAGCTCTTCAAAGACCCTGTGATGCTGGGCTGCATGCATCACTTCTGCAGGAGATGCATCGTGTCATACTGGAAGACGGTTAGGGGTCCTGTGTCCTGTCCTCAGTGCAGACAAGAGTTTCCCAACAAATGCTTCCAGACCAACTACTTAGTAGCTGGCCTTGTGGAGAAGGTCAGGGCCAGCTCCACATCTGCATCTGTCAGGTATCTGGAGGTGAGTTGTCTTTCCACAGTCAGGAAAAGGCAAGTCTGTAGCTTAGTATCTTGTTTTAAACCAAGTTTCTTGTGACTAGCGTGACCATCTGTCTTTTAATTGTATCAACTGTTTATTTTGCCCTACATCGTGAGAAGTAAAGAAGAGAACATACACTACCGGTCAAAAGTTTGGGACGAGTAAAACTTTTAATGTTTTTTAAAGAAGTCTCTTCTGCTCATCAAGGCTGCATTTATTTGATCAAAAATACAGAAAAAAACAGTAATCTTGAAAAATTTTATTACAATATAAAATAATGGTTTCTATAATTTTAATATCCTTTAAAATATAATTTATTTCTGTGATGCAAAGCTGAATTTCCATCAGCATCATTACTCCAGTATAAAGTGTCACATGATCCTTAAGAAATCATTCTAATATGCTGATTATTATTAGAATTATCAATGTTGGCAACAGTTGTGCTTTTTTTGGAAAATGCGATACTTTTTTCAGGATTCTTTGATGGATAAAAAATAAAAAAGAACAGCATTTTTTCAAAATATAAATATTTTCTAACAATATAAATCTTTGCTGTCACTTCTTATTAATTTAACACATCCTTGTCCTTTAAAAAACATTAAAAATCGTTCTGATCCCAAACTTTTGAACGGTAGTGTATGAGTAATGTCAGCATTAAATGACAAGTTCTGTTTTTCATTAAATGTTTCTTGAAAATGTCCTTCCTCATTTTTGAGATATAAAAGTCTGTAAAGCCTCATGAAGAAAGGAAAAAATGAAATCGCATCATATGACCCCTTTAAAAAATCACAAGCCTTAGTCGTGTGACTTGAAAATTTCCAACACACCACAAATGGATTTTGTATCATCTGCTGCTGGTCCTTGTTTTATTTCCATAGCCTTCCTATAATTTTGTTCATAATAAACCATTTCAGACATTTTATACTGAATGTTTTATACCACCTTAAGCAATATGGTTTACATACAGTATAAACATGAGTTCACCTGTTTGTTGATTGTTTATGTTTTACAGCACAGCCAGTTATGTGATTCGTGGAATTTAGGTTTTCTGTCAGCATACAATCTGGTCCACCGCCCACATAGTCACGAAGAGGCCAACCACAGTTCATCTTTGTGTCTACTAGGGCTGGGTAAAAAATATCGATATCTCGATATTAATCGATTCAAATTTTTACGGAACGATATCGATTCTTAAATCCCAAGAATCGATTAGTCTAGCCTGTTTTCAGTTAATGGACGGAACGTTGAAGGGCACTTCCCATCCAATATATCGCAATAAGCTTTGTGCTTTGGTACTTTTAATATGAAACAAATCCTCAGATTTCAAATTCTGTCCATTGTATTGCAGTATTCAAACAATAAATGTTTAATGTGGAGTGACAGATCTCTGTAGCGCCTCCTCAGTTCAACAGATGCGGCAGTGCGAGGCACACGTGAACTGATCGTCTCCTCCACATTAATACCAGTTTCAGCACAAAATAAACATGACTAAACATCCGAAGGTAAGTTAAAAGAATGAGTACACCTTTACAATCCGTATCTTGTATCAAGTAATCGCTCCATCAGTGTTTCAGTTTATGTTTGAATAAATCCATCAAGTTTTTATGACAGCCACCATTATGTTTATATTTCAAAAAAATTAATTGAAGTAGAAATATTATGTAATTGTAACTTTATTATTTTAAAAGCTTCATTAAGTGTAATTTTAACAAATCAGTCAATTTTAACCTTCAATATTATAGTAATGTAGCTGACTCTCATGTATATTTTACAGCATTAGTTGAGAGATTTTTTTTTCCTTGAGAAAATTTGGCATGGAAAATTATACCTGATATATATCCAAAATAATTTATATCGAATCAAATCGAATTGGTAATCGAATCGAAGTGCAAGCTTGTGAATGAGAATCGAATTGAATCGTGAAATTTGTGTCAAAACCCAGCCCTAGTGTCTACATGCCATTAATCTGAATTAAATGTACAGAAGTGCCGAGCCAGTTTGTGACTTGTTGTAGAAAACACATAAAAATAGTGGAAATTTGGAGTTTCCATCCGATAAAGATTTGATTAGTTCTTATGATTATTATGTTGTATCAGGCATGTGCTAACTAACAATAAAGAGAAAACCATATTTTGAGTTGGTTAGTGCGCCAACATATAGCACAACTGTGCTCACGGCGACCCAAGTTCGATTCCCGTCTCGAAGTCCTTTGCCGATCCCTCCCCCCTCTCTCCTCCCAATACTTTCCTGTCTGCTCTCTACTGTCCTATCTAATAAAAAAAAAACTTTCACGTTTAGATATACTTTATTATACTTAAATATACTTTATTAATTTAGATTTAGATTTCCTTTATTGATCCCAAATAGGAAATTGTTATATCATAGCATCTTAAAAATAACCTTAAAATGACAGGTCTACTAAAATTCAATTAAAAGAAAACTACAGTTCTGCAACAAACACTTGTCATTAAATATTAAATAAACATGAATGTACAAGAAACCAAAACCTAAAGCGTTTTTTATGAAAAGTAAAGTTCAGTTATGGTAGGTTTACCTGCTCACATGTTTTGTTCACTTGATTTTGCTCCAACTTTATATCACATAAACAAGTCTCGGTATCACCAGTGACCTCATAATACAGGTGCATCTCAATAAATTAGAATGTCGTGGAAAAGTTTTGTTGAGATAGTGAGTTGGTGGGTTTTTGTTAAATGTGAGCCAAAATCATCACAATTAAAACAACCAAAGACTTAAACTACTTCAGTCTGTGTGCATTGAATTTATTTAATACACGAGTTTCACAATTTGAGTTGAATTACTGAAATAAATGAACTTTTCCACGACATTCTAATTTATTGAGATGCACCTGTATTATACATGAATGATATGATCCAGTACCTCACAGTGAATCATAATTGAAGTTGCAACAAACAAACAGGAGAGACCCAGTGTTATCGCACGAGGATGTGAATCTATGGAATTTGTTTCAAATGGTTCGCTTCACTTCACTGCACATTACAGTGCCTCTGAGTCTGATCACACTGAGAAATGATTTTAGAGTTTTTGTTTTTCAGACGACCCACTTACTTATTAATTAAACTTTAAACTGTGCTCTTCAGATAAAAAGACAAATTCTAGGACATTTAATTTTTATGTACTCTAACATGCTGGTTTTGCAACTCCACTTTACATTTTTAATGTTTATTTTTATTGTTGACTCTGTAGATACTGAATCCTGGGATTTGCTTGAAGCCAGTTTAAGTGTGATTTTGGAAAGCACTAGTCTTTTGTCAGTAAATGGACTGTGCTGACTAAGGCTGAGAGACAATCATGAAACTACTGTTTTGGTTTTCTTTAATACTGTGTCTGTGTTTACCAATTGCTCTTTTCTAGAAGCAATTAAAGGACCGTCTAGAATCGCAGTTCTCCATGAAAGAGGCCTACGTCACTATGATCCGTGAGGACAAAGACAAGATGGAGAAAATAAAAGTGGGTCCACCTTCAAAAGAGAAAGATCACAATGTGACACTTCCTGCAAAACAGAATCACACAACTCTCCCTTTCCTCCCCTCAGAAAATGGGATCTGAGCTGCAGGGGCGAGTGCACAGCGACTTCCAGGCTCTGCATCACTTCCTGCGGGTGGAGGAGGAAGCCATGTTGGAGCAGTTGAAGAGGGAGCAAGAGGAAATGCTGCAGAGGCTGGAGCGACATCTGGAGGCCCTACAGGTGGCCATCAGAGACGTGGAGCAGAACATCAACATGCTACGACAGACTGCCAGCAGCACAGACCAATCTGTACTTGTAGAGGTGATTATAATGACTGTTTCCATTTGTAATGCTGCTGCTGCATATCCATTTGTCAAAGAACTAATATTTGGAATATTAATGTCATATTTACACAAGAACCTAGAGTGCTGGTTGTCAGAATGAGTTATTAGCGAAGTGTAGCTACAGCCACAGTCTCATATATATTTCACACAACAGCAGAACTGTAGAAAAAAATCAATTCTACAGTGATTTGAGCATGTGCTGTTAATTATCAGACAGATGGTTTGCTTTTGCTATGTTCTTGCTAGCTTCTGTAGTTGAGTCAGCTAAATAACCTGTTTGATTCCATTTCCTTCCTCCACAGCTTCCAGAATTGAATTTCAGGTGAGTAGCTATTAAAAAGCTATTTTTGTTATTATTTACCACCCTGTAGATAGCTGATAATATTCCTTGTATGACTCTTTAATAGTCTGTACCACTAAAATTTCACAGTTCTTGGTACCAGTTTCGGTACCATAGTACAAACTACTGGAACTATTTGACTATTTTATTCAACTATTTGAAAATTAAAAAATACTAAGGGTGTAATTTATTATTGATAAAAATAATCATTTTTCTCTACAAAATTTTTAATGTCTTTATTATTAAAACCTTGATGCCTCTATGACTCCAGATCGCCCCTGCAAGAGCTGAATATCACCCTGAATACTTTCAGAAGCAAACACATTGCTCCTCTTCAATACACTATGTGGCGAAAAATGTTTCAACATTTGAGTCCAGGTAATTTGTCAATAACACTTTGCCACGATACTTTATCCACTAAACACTATGTTTAATTAGTGGTCACTACATGATCTTTAATATTTGTATTTGTACTATTTGTTTTAAAAAAGCAAAGCCAATATAGGAGGTATTGAAGTTGAGAAATAGCTCAAGGTATTCATTTTCCTCTGTAACAGATGGTGTTATTGCCATAGTGACAGTACGAATAGCCCCCCTAGGGCAACAGAGGATTCAGTGATTTGTCGAATGGCGCAGTGGGCTCATGTTACGCCTGTTTCACAATACTCCGTCTGCAGTGCGTGTGCGTTGCGGTTTTTTTACGCACCCATGTTAACGGATTAGAGCTTTCACACTGCACGCGGTTGCGGTCCGTCAGTGCGTTCCAGGAGCGGCGCGTCTGCAGCAGTGCAGCGATCGTTTACACACCGAGTCTATTTTTGCTGTGCTGCACGTGCTGAATTAAAGTGACAGCGCTTTGTTCGCGGTAAAAATGAACATTGATTGACAAGGAAATTTAGTAATTTCACAATAAATAGATATAATTAAAGTCTACTGTGTTTCACAGGCTTTTTGGCTAAGTTTAAAACAAAGAAAAGTGCACTTTTAGATAAAGAAGGCAACATATGCACTTGTGTCTTGTGGAGGTAGAAAAACAAAGTTCTTTAAGACCCGCGGGACTGTTTGTAATAAAGATTTAAATGTAAAAGGCACCAGAGCCAACTGTTTCTGTCAGTGATGATAATGATCTTTAAAATCGCATCATATGACCCCTTTAATATACAAATCTAGAAGCCAAATGCATTTGATACGCTGTTTATATTGAGTTTAAACGTGAATATATGTCTATGAAAGATTGTATAACTGTACTGTGATAAAAGAGGATCTGCTGAAAAAGCACTTTCAGTATAGGCTAACTACGTTTGGATTTGAAATCAAAGTAATGGATAAATGTTGTATTTGTGTATTAAACAGCCGCAGATCAGGAGCGGACTGCAAACGCGTCCTGTGTGAAAGCACAATGAGTCCGTGCTGCTTCTGCACCGCATACGTAACGCACACGGACCACATACGCACTGCAGACGGAGTATGTGAGAAACAGGCGTTAGACCATGATTCGGATGTCAGTTTTAGCAGTCTTCACAAATGTTTGTTTACATAGAAATGTAGGGTTACGCCCTTATCAGGAAATGATGAAAAACTGCAGTTGTCTGTTCTACTGATTTCATTGTATTTCACTTCCATGTTGCACATCAGGGTTTTAAAGCTTACACATAGTATAAAAACACTGGTACTGTTACGTTTCATACCATCTAGCACATATCTTCATAGCACACATAGCTGTACCAGTTCCACTGGTTCATTTAAATAAAGTTGGATTTTTATTTTGGCTTTAAAGTCAAATCACACAAACTAAAGGTTATTGGCTATTAATAAGGCACAAGCACTTTGATATGTCCCCATACAGTATGATGCTCAAATTTCAGTAAGAAATGTGTCTTCGGTTATTCCTTACATAAAATAGATGGAGCTCATCAAGTTGGACATGATAATTAATGACTTGCGGTTCAATGAAAAAGTGAATAACCCTTACAGCCATTTGAATGAGTGGTTAGACTGATTTAAAAAACAGTAAATCAGTTCAAGACTGATTTGTGAGTTCTTTTGACCGTTTTTTAAGAAAGATTGGGCTCCTAACACCATAAGCTGCATCCAAAATGACACACTATACACTATGCACTTATACATTATGTACTTATGCACTATGTACTCAACCATGTAGTGTATTAATTATATTATGTTATTTTGTCATTAATAATCGGTGTCTGATAGCCCCTCCCCCTTCGCTACATAATTAAAGCTGTGACAGTTGAGTGCATTAAAGGGATAGTTTTTTACCTCTGATTCACCGCAATGTCCGAACTGTCCTGAGCACGCGCTCTCAACAGCCGGAGCGTGACGCGTCTTCTTCTTGCTTTATGGCGGATCGCAGACTTATAAGTGCATTACCGCCACCTATCTCTCAAATGGACCATTGACACTCTATCTACAATCCCAATTAGGAGTGTCAATGGTCCATTGGTTTTGTTTGTGTATGTTTTTTTTACTCTCAAAGCCGTGATTCCCATTCACTTCCATTATATGACTGACAGACTGCAACGGTTTGAGTTAAAAATCTTCGTTTGTGTTCTACTGAAGAAACAAAGTCACCTACGTCTTGGATGCCCTGGGGGTAAGCAGATAAACATCAAATTTTCATTTTTGGGTGAACTATCCCTTTTAAGTGTTCAACATTCCACACTTCATTTTTTCGGTTATTTAAGTGCATTTTTTCTTTTTGGAATTTTCAGTGTGAACAAGCTACTTGCACTATTTCTACTACAAAACGTCATAGAATAGTGCATAAGTACACGATTTGGGACGCACCTCATGTCTTAACCAGATGTGATGTGATAAGGTTCCAGTGACAAGCAGTTTGCGTGTCTACACCAGACACGACTTAACTACAAGATAAAATCAACCAACCAAAAAAAACAAACAAAAAAAATAAATAAAAACAGCCAATCAGAAGAGTGCTGTTTTACACTCACAGTGAAATGGTAAATACATAATCAAATTAATAAAATTGATGCCATCCATTTTAACATTATTCAAAATACATTATCCCTGACTGATACTGATCTTTGTCAGGGAATACACTTGTTTGTTCACATAAAGTTCATAGTTTGAATAGTTTAACTTTTTTTTCTGATCTGAAGAGACATTTTTGCTTTCATTATGGCTATTAAATTCATGCAAAAAGGATATTCAAACAGTTCAAATCATATGATAATTCAAATCATTGAGCTGTTGTGCTGGTTAGGGCAAAAACATGGAAAAGATACCTTTTATTTCAGAGTTATTGTTCACAGTTTGGATGACAGATCATGCTGTATGTTTCGTTTTTGCATTCAAGCAGCGAGGGCAACTAAACTGCTTTTATTACACAGCTGAAACATTGTTTTCTTGCACAAGCAGAAGAATGTAGGCAATCAAGAAACAGTAACAGATCTGAATATAATGAAAAACCCTTTCATCGATTCAAGCTTTTTTTTTAAATTCACACAGTTCACAAAACCCAAGGTTTTGCAGTCGATGCCATTTATGATAGTGTGTCTTTTATTCCCAGGCCCAGCACCATTGATATTTAATGAGGACACAGCTCATCCCAGTCTACAGCTTTCCAGGAACAAAACCCAAGTCATCGAGAGCGACAAAATGACCAGTTACACATGTGATGCCAAACGCTTCCTTCAGTGTGTCAACATTCTTGCAACAGAAGGCTTCCAGTCTGGCAGGCATTACTGGGAGGTGGATGTAAGTAACAATCCTAAATGGGACCTAGGTGTTGCTCTGGAGTCAGTGAATCGTCAGGTCAGAGTTAAGCTGTGCCCTGAGAATGGGTACTGGACCCTCCGGCTGCGCAGTGGCAGCCAGTACTCAGCCGGCACGCAGCCCTGGACGCCACTGACTGTGATGACCCCACCTAGCAGGATTGGGGTTTTCCTGGACTGTGAGGAAAGGAAAGTGTCTTTTTATAATGCAGATAACATGGCGCTGCTGTATTCCTTCTCCAGCGGGCCGAGAGGAAAAGCGTTCCCCTTTTTCAGCACGTGCCTCAGTGAACGCGGTCAGAAAGCCCAAGCCATCCGCATCCTCCACTTCCCCTTTGAGTGTCCATCAGAGATGTAAAACAAAGCCTGTAGACACTCTAGTAACCTGAGCTGTGTTCATGAGTCTGTATTTGTCTGAGGTTTTCGATATTTCACATTTGGCATCACTTTTGATACATTAAAGCCATGCAGCTCTCAAAACGCTAATCAATCATGAGGTGAATATATTTTAGGGACCACACAAAATTCTTAATTGATTTTTGTACCAGATGTCTGTTAATCGCACAGTTCAGATTTTACAAGGATTACTGATGTTAATTGATGACAGTAAAAACATTGCCATGTTACCCTCAGCTAAACCTTTATTTTATTTTAAAATCTGTTTTAGAATCAAATTCTATAGAGTCTTTATTTTTATATTTATGGAATATTACGTTTCACAAATATGGACAAAATTATTTAGCCTTTCACCTACGGTTCTTTCCTTTTTTTTTTAGTTAATTACAAATACCGAAGAAATGGAAAATAAATACTATATGGTTTAAATCAGTCCAGGTGTTTAATGTGATTCTGAAAAATTACAACAGCACTCTTTGACATGCACATTGCACGATCCTCTTTTCATCATTTCCTTTATAGATATGCAAAGTAATTATAGATACTACTTTGAAATTAATTTAAATACTTTGTTCTTTTCTGTGGGTTGTCCAGTTGTTTTCACTTTCATCATTGAAAATTTGAGCATGTTTCTAATTCCTGCTACATCAGTAGTCAGTGTTTGTTTTCTCTGTAGTCAATAAAAGTGAGCATGCGTTAGTTCGCTCTGTCCATCATTGTGTCAAGGCTCAGTGGCAGGGCAGGAAGATGTTTAGTTTGATTTATGTCTAGCTCTTCCTTCCTGTCAAATGGACAAAAACAAGCACCCTGTTCTGTTATATAGGCACAGTCATTTTGATATTTTATTTTCGATGAATGCATATGACTTACACAGCATGTAAAAAATGTGCATACCACAATGCAATATCTGCTCAATTACATTTTATAGGGTAAACAAAAAATATATAAAGTCTGACTTTCCAGTGGGGGAGAGCACCTGGGGTGGCATCCCGGATGCAAAAAACAGCAAGGATGGGGCTGCCATTATCTGTCGGAGCAGGCAAGTGCATCAACATCCTCTTTCCTCCTGCCTCCTGCAAGGGGTCAAACAAACAGAATAAGAGTCCAGGTGCCCTCAAACTACATTACTGCCGCCTTGGGACTGGGGTTTGGGGGTGTTTTGGCTGCTGGAAATAAGAGTCAATGCTCAGCCCTCCTCCACAGGGTCAGGTTGCCTTTAAACACACAGAACAGCCATGATTTAAACAGCCTATTAACATTCCAGCCTCCTGACTTTGTCCAGTGTGTTTGACACAGGGCTGCCGCTTCAGCCCTCCATGCCTTCATTTCTAAAGTTGGACATGTTTGTGCTAATGTTTTCATCTACATGCTGCACATGTGAGTGTATAATAAAGATAGCAAGTTAAATCTTTTCAACTTGGATAAATGTTGCAAGATTTAACATGAAATTTAACATTCTAGTGGCTTAGGCTCAAATACAGCCTCTCACTTCACAACATTACCACGGGTTACTGAAAGTTTAATTTTCATTGGTTCACAAATGGTGTCCCACAGAAGTGGAAAAGTGCAAGGAAAGCATTTGGCATTAAAAGAATTAGTTTGAACTGAAGCTCTACAGTTCATCCGACTCGTTTTCCAAAATGCTACATCTGAACACCGAGCTTATAACTATTGTAATGTTTGCAAATGTATGTAAGCCATTCATTTTGTTGTATCTAGTTCTTGGCAGTGTTGTTAATTCCTGGTGGTGAGTGACACGGTCTCATTTCCTTCTGTAATGTGTTTCCTGACCCCAGGATGTGGAAGAAGAAATCATGGCACTTCAAGGTCTAGTCCTTGAGCTGGACTCTAAAGAACACGGCAAGAGGAAATGCTGCGCCTTTCATGCTGCTTACCGGAAAAGGTCAATAATAATAATAATAATAATAATAATAATAAATGTCAGTACTTTCTATAGCTCTCTTTGGTAGGTTAATCTGTGCAAACTACTACTAGTATACAATAATGATGCTTTTAGTTATTGCACCACTACTGTTATTTATATACTGATTCTTGGATTACTACAGTCAGAGGGTAACATACTTTCAAATGACCAATAATAATAAGCAGCAAATTAAGAGTGTATTGAGGCAAAAGTTGTAGTTAATAATTAGTTAATAGTGAAAATTGGTCCCCCCAAACTTAAGTGTGCCCAGATTTTCATTGGACCTCAAGTGCCAATCCAACACTACCAAACCCATAACCTATATTTTATTTCTGGATCATCATTTTACTTCACATTTTGTTCACGGTTTTTAAGCAGTCTATTCAACATATTGGCATTTGTCTAATTTGTCTAGCTTCTACCAAGTGACAGATGGATTCATGCCAAAATAATGTAGAGTTTGTTTGGACACACAGACTTTAATGTCAGTGACAAAAAGGTGAAAAGCGTGTTGATTTTCCTATCCTACCTCTTCCCTGCTGCCAGTGAGACAATCATAACAGACCTGCCATCTATTTTTGGATTGCTACCCGCCAGCTAACAACCGCTGTTAAAAGCAATGAGTCATAACTACTAATTGCAACCTGTTCCAGTACACACAATCTGCACTCAAAGAGAAATCAAGTCTTATTTATTTGCTATTTAGCATATTTTCCCATGCAAAGCATTTTACAACACTTAAACTGCAAGAACAGTCCCTCTGGAGTGATGCAGAGTTGAGTGTTCTGCTGAAAGGATTACTTGCAATAATGGAATACAATAGTTATAATGTGACTTTTTTCATATATGTATAATTATTGGCAATGGCATTACGTTTGACTGATAAAGCTAACCCAGACACCCAGCTGCCAGTTATAAATGCTTTCATTTGATTATTTATTTTTTGGCTGTTAAAAACTCGGTCAGTTCATTAGCACGTGGCGTAGTGTTTGTACATGTGCCAGGTAACATTATGACTTGAGAATCCCCCGCCCCTTCATAACATTCATTCTAATGAATGTTTCAAGAGCCAAATCAAACATGAAGCATGCCTGGGAAAACACATGCACACTATGGCAAGCCATTTTAACATTTAATCCTTAGAACATTTCCTATGTTCATGCTACTATTACTTTTTTTTTTAGATACTATCTATTCCATTTGGTACTTGTACTATTCATTAGCTGAGTACTAGTGCTTATTCTCTAGGTAGTGCCTTTTAAAAAAAGTGCTAGTGCTTATTCATTAGATAGGAGTTCTTATTTTTTAGATTTCTAACAAATAAGAACTCCTATCTAATGAATAAGCACTAGCACTAGTATACAGGTACTCATTCATTAGATACTAGTACCTATTAAGTAGACACTTATCTCAATAGTGGTGAGAACCTATATTCTATTGTTAGTAACTGTCACGCACCGCTCCCGCTGTGAGGGAGCACGGAGCGAGGAACGAGGAGTCGTGGAGAATTCTTTAAACAAAGATACTTTAATAGCCATCCAATAGAACAAGGAAACCAGAAACACACACGTGGAAGACGACATTCAATACCGGACAGGAAACAATGGGCAGAACACACTTTATATACAATCTTAATCAGGGGAAGACGAGACGCACCTGGAATCAAATTGGAAACAATCGACATGGGAAAACTGGGTCATGGAACACGTGGGGAGCAAAACATGGAAACACAGGGCTGACAGTAACACATTTTACATTTTTGCCATTGATTTCTATGGGGATCTGTCATTCAGATATCAACTATTTAGTTTTGACAAGTATGTATTCCAGTTGTGACTAGTACATATTTTTATATACTAGTTATTCACTACTTGTACTTATTTTTAGATATTAGTATCTATTATTAGATAGTAGTACCTATTTGATACCTATACCTATTAAATAGATGCTAGTATTTATTCATAAGATACTAATTCTTATTATTAGATACTAGTACTTATTCATTAGACACTACTACTTATTAATTAGCTACTAGTACTAATCTAATAAACACTGGTACACCTTTATTATTAGTGCTTATTCCAAATGTTAGTAGTAAGACTTCTTTTTTTATTTTATTATTAAGATTTATAATTGAATTCTACCATTCTGACTAGTCATAAGTTGAGTAAAAAGCAGTTAAAGGGGTCATATGATGCGATTTCTATTTTTCCTTTTCTTTAGTGTGTTATGTAGCTATTTGTGCATGTATAAGATCTGCAGAGTTACAAATCTCAAAGTCTGCCACAAAAGGATTTATTCTATCTAAAAGAGAATGCTGATCCAAACGCCTCATTTTAGCACGCCCCCACATCTCTACGTCACAATGTGGAAATATTTGCGTAATGCCGCCCAAATGTTCATGCAAAGAAAGAAGGCGTGGTTTCAGTAACCGCAGTTAGTGTTGAAGCAGCCATGTCAGGGAGACTGTGTTTCTAGGCGAAAGCAAAAGCACTTTATTTGGCTTTCCAAAAGTAGATGCAATGAGGAATCATTGGTTAAGATTTATTTACAACAGAACAGCACAACCCAGATGTTCGAATTTGTGCAACACATTTTATGGACGACAGTTTTGTGAACCTAGGAGAGTAGCCTCCAAGCCTGGCTGTGCAAAGGCCATTTCAGCCAGCCATGTCAGAGAGGCTGTGTTTCAGTGCGAAAGCAAAAGCACTTTATTTGGCCTTCCGGAAGTAGATGCAATTAGGAATCATTGGTTAAGATTTATTTACAACAGAACAGTACAACCCAGATGCTCGAATTTGTGCAACGCATTTTATGGACGACTAGGTTTTGTGAACCTAGGAGAATAGCCTACAAGGCTGGTTGTGGCCAATCAGAGCAGACTGTGCTCATCGGAAGGAGGGGCTTTGTAGAACACGACACGTTTGAGAGAGGCGGGGCATAGAGGAACTACAATAATGTACAGTATTTGAAAAATAATGTGTTTTTTGAACAATAAAGCATGTCAACATATTCTGTTACACCAAATACACAAAAACATGATCTTTAAAATAGCATCATATGACCCCTTTAAAATAAGAATTGTTACTAGTAACAATTACAAAAGACACTAGTGTTATAAATTCGGTCACACTTTAGTTTGAGGATCAATTCTCACTATTAACTAATTATTAACTACAACTTTGGCCTCAATAAACTCCTAATTTGCTGCTTATAGTTAGTTAAGTATATATATATATATATATATATATATATATTAACAGTCCAATCAGAGTTCACATGGTACAATATATTAACATATTGAATGAAACTGATTGTTTGTAACTGGCTTTGTATGTTAGCTTATCTTGCTAATTGGATAGCATAAAAACACAAGGAAAGATATAGTTTATTTGTTTGTTTGTACTTGACCCTTTTGATTATTGGCAGACAAGTAGATCCAGAAACCAGTTCACGCACACCAGCCAGACAACCACAATA